GATACAGAAGCGCTTCACGCGCCCGCAATACTAAAACACGCAAATAATAACGCGCGAGTTTGACCTAACGTTGATCGCCGCAAGTTTCAAGAAGAAAAAAAAAAGAAAGTGGCGTACTTGTTCGACAGGAAACGTCGTACTAAGGTTAAAACGAGCGAACTGCGAAACGTTGCGGTCTGTGGGGCTTCTCCGACCAGGACTGCCTTTCGTAAGAAGTGCGATTCCAATCCGTCTGGGCGAATTGAATAATGTGGCTCGTGCGATCGTTGAAGTTGACTCGTTGTCGCGGTCACTTTCGATCGCTATCGGGTCTGATCCAGATTCGATTTCTCGGCGGTGTTCCAAAAGTACGTTGGTTGCGATGCTCGTCCGTCGAACCCGGAGGTCGCGGGTTCGATTCCGGTCGGTCGCGCGTATCGATGAAGGCGAAACGAGAGATGTGCCCGAGTACCGTGCGATTTCCGTGCCGGAAACGCCAGGTTGTCGAACTTTCGACAAGTGGCTTTGAAAAGAAGAAAAAGAAAGAAAAAAGCGCTGTCCCGTTACTGCCTCTCTCAATCGAGGGCACCTCCACAGTTATGCGCAGGGAAGGGGGATGGGAATTAGAAGAAAAGAGGTAAGAGGAGGGTAGTGAAAAGCATTCGATCACTAGTGTCGAAATTTCCGGAGCCTTCCACTATACGGCGTGCTTCGTGGTATTATTTCTCGATGGTGATTGGGTCCTTAACGCAAGCTGCCGGAGGATGCCGACTGGTACTGAGTGGTTTGAATCCCGATCGCGTTTAATCGCAATCAGCGGCACACCGTAGCAACGCCGATATAAGGACGCCATTGGGTTCGTTTTAGTACGCGGAATTCCGTTAAGGACGAACTGCTAACGAGACTGGCACCTGCGTTCAAATGGGTTGAATTTTTACCGTAGGTTTTCTTACCTGTATGTCTGTGCGATACTAGTGTTTTTTTTTTTACAGGGGTGCCGGTTGAGCACGCGTTAGTTACGGAAGCGTCGTGGTCGGTTCATCGCTATATAACTCGGCAAGGCCCTCATTAGCCGTCGTAATCATTTTATATTATCGTGTACTAATCTACCCACTCGCGTGGCTGATAGTTTATCAGAACGTGGCGCATTCAACACTCGACGTTGTTACGTGAACGGTTCGGTATTACCGTTATTCTTATAATCACCGTATTAAAATGCTCCGAAACGCGTCCTGGAGGGTCGTTAAGGTGTTAGAGTAGTGACTGTAATAGCGTACCGTCGTGGTCGGTACGTGACCTTTTAGCCGCTACGATTAGCGTACGGTAACGGTGTGAGATGGTGAGTGGTGCTAATGCGCTGGTGTAGCGGTTGATGTGCTCGACTGCCGATCCGAAGGTCGCGAGTTCGACCCCGACGAAAATGCCAGGGGCCCGTGTAGTGCACGATGACGTTGCACGTTTGAAAAGGAGATTGTGGCGTCCCTCGTAGTCGTATCGCAGTTTTGGCGTGTAAAAAAAAACTCCCAAGCTATTATTACGATATATCGAGTCTTTGTTTTGAGGCGAAAGCCGTAGATGCGTGATCTAGGGCGCGAATTGATGGTCGGTGGGGACGTCAACACGAGTCGATGACGAAAAAAAAATCGCCATCGCGCATTGACGTCACCATAAACGTCCTAGTCAAATTTTTGTGACGTAATCATGGTATCTAGCATGAAGAAAGCTGCGTGCCAACCACGACGGTGTGTCGTACCGAGCTCGCTTGACTACGTTCTATTTGTCGATATCGAGTTGATTTATCGCTTTCACTTTAGCGCCTAAATGGCTCGAGGAACGATTGCGCGCATGCGCCGTAAAGGTCTTCCGCGTTGCTGCCTAGTATAAGGTCACGTTCGCGGCGGCGTGACGTCGTTCGTCCCTCTGTTGTGGCTTTCGGAGCTCACGCGAAAGGAAGCGCCACCCGTAGTCGTGGATGAGAACGAGGGAAGGGAGGGGGGGGGGGGTGTAAGCGTGTCGGCGCCGTTGCGACAGCTGGCATTTGACCTTGCCGACCGAGTTGTTACAGCGCTGCCGTAGACGTGTACGCTTCTCGCCCCCTTTTTTTGCTCAGTCTTTCCCCCTCTCCCTTATTGAACGACAAGCCAGTCTGTAGTCAATACGGCCGTTTCAATTTTCTTTTTTGTGCGCCGTCGGTCTATTTGCACACACTTCGATGTCGCGTCATCCGAAGGGAAAACTCGTAAATTATTTCGGCCTCCTCCCAACCGCTTCGCTTGTCACGACATTGCGGGGGGAGGGGGAACGAGTTGATTCCCGTTCGTTTTTGCAAAGGGAGCAGCCGATTGCCTCTTTGATTCCTATTCAAGGTTTGGACAGACTGCTGTGTCTCTATTGCTGGAGGCGAAAATTGAAATGTCAACTTGCGTGGCTTCGGTATGGCAGCATTTCTGTCGCCGTTATTTGTTTCCTGTGCTATTATTCGTGCGCCATAGTTGCCCAGTTCCTGGGATGTTCGCCTGAGTAAAAAAGTGTCATGGGTGTATACGAAAGATGTGTTCAATTAGGTTGCCTTGTTAGAAGCAACCTAATGAAACTACCAGGCATTGTTGCCAGAAAATGTATTGAAGATCCTTGTAGCTTTTAAATCTATTGTGGTAATTATTGCACAAATGTAGAGAAATTAAAGTGCGCAATAAAATGACTTGCTGCCAGCAGGCATCGAACTTACAACCTGTGGTTAACGTGCGTTGCCTTTCCATTTCCCTTGCTGAACTGGAAGCCAGTCAAGTTGACAGTCATATTAATTTTCTTTCCCACCATCAGTCTGTTTTGCACTCCAATGTCGCATCTTGCCTAACGGAAGCCAGTAACTGTATATTGCTTGGACTCCGAACCACTTATGACATTTCGTGAGGCAAAACAAGTTGGTTTCCTTTTGTTTTTAAAGGGAGCAACTGTTCTTTCGTTGATTCCTATTCATGCTTGATCGGATTGCTGTTTCTGGATAGCTGGGGGCACAAATAGAGATGTCAACATGCATAGCTTGAGAGGGGCAGAATTTCATCCAAGGGCTTTACTAGTGCGGTGCTTTTGGTTCGCTATGGTTGTGTAGTCCATGGCACATTCTCTTGAGCAACGTCATTTGTTTGTATGAAGGGGAATCTATCGAAAGCTTGCTTTGCTTTATCACACGACCTAACAAAACTATCTGACAGAGATGCCAAGTATTGGAGGCAGTATTTGTAGTATTTAACTGTAGTGTGGCAATTATGATGCGAATGTGAAGAAGTTGAAGTGTACAGAAAGACGTGTCACCAGTAGGGATCCAGCCTACAGTTTGCGGATGATGCATGCCCGTTTTATTCAGTCTTCTCACTGAAAAGGAGGCCAGTTTAGGCAGTACAGCTGTTTCATTTTCTTTTGCGCCATCGACTGTCTCGTCTATTTGCTCTCCGATGCCTCTTCGTCGGTGTCACCAGTAGGGATGAAGCCCGCATCTTATGGATGATGCATGCCCCTTTTATTCAGTCTTCTCATTGACGAGGAAGCAAGCCTAGGCAGTACAGCTGTTTAATTTTCTTTCACACCATCGGCTGACTCGTCTATTTGCTCTCTGCCTTTTGGTCGAGCGGAAACTCGTAAATTACTTGGTCCTCCAAGCCACTTCACTTGTAAGGATGTTTAGTGGGCTAGAAAAAGTTGACTCTCAATAACTGCAAAGGGAGCAAACGATTGGCCCTTTCTTTGATTCCTATTCAAGCTCAACAGATTGCTGTTTCTTTATTGCTGGAGCCATAAATTGGAAGTGTCAGCGAGTTAGGCTTGGAATGGCTGATTTTTCATTTAAGGATGACGTTTGTTTCCTGTGCTCATGGCTCACCATGTACAAGGCCCCCTGTTACCCATTTCCTGGGATGTCCTTAGAGTGAGCAACATTGTTGTGGGGTTGACTCGCTGCCCTACTTGGTTGTAGTTGTATAAGAAAGGTTTTATAGGACAAGTATATTTGACAGCACAGAATTCTGTTTTCGGCTGCTCTGAAACACTTTCTCATTCAGAAAGCTCTGTTACACATGTAAGGACATATATGTACTAGTGTGTTCTTTCGATGATCATAACAGATGTGTGCAGCGTGAAGTTGAGTTTTCTTTTCTCCATCCACATCAAATTACTGCCTTAGAATCTTCAAATGCTCTTTGTTGGATGTACGGTTAGGTGTGGCCTGTGCAACAAATAGTTTTTGTTTTTGTCCCCTTTATAAAATTTTGTAGTTGTTTGCATGCCTCGCTTGTGCACTGTAGGCTGGCTTTTTTTGTTTTTGTGATTGGTGAGGCGCTTTTCAATAGCGCGGGATAAACTGGCGAAACAAGAGAACTGATGTGGACAAGTGCTATTCATCTCGGCTCTTTATGTGTGTGTTTTTTCCCGTGCTGTTGAATTTTTCTTGACGACGAGCTACCAACTCGTCCGAACATTCGTGCTAATTTGTTTCAATCACACAAAAAGAGAGTAATGAAAAGGTTATTGGCTGCTCAATGAGCATTTGTGGCATCTCTGTTTACTCGTGAGTGTTTTTGAGGTGGTCGCAAAGCATGAACAGCGCCTAATTTGCCTTTTCAACGCCGTGAACATTGACATACTTTAAGTGCAGGCACAGGTAATTGTGTCAAGTCTTCAAATGAAATCTTTCCATTCATTTGTTAATTATTCTTACGATTGCACAGCTTTTCCTTTTTATTGACCATTGCTTGCATTGTGTAATTGCACCAGTTCACTCTGGCAGTACATTAGTTTGACGACTGAGGCCTAGTCATCACTAAATGTAGTGTTGTTTTGGGGTGGAGTGGGTGTCAGAGTATTGGGACTTGCAGGTAATGTGTGCAGCATTTTCAAGTGCTTATGCTGTCATTAGTGTTCTTGGCATAGTCTTCTTTTTGGAATTGAGAAGCTTCTATCGATAGAATACTCGAGATTTATGTCTTTTGCTGACTGTTCCTGGTTGTTTTGTTTTTTTCTGCCAGGATCGCGGTTATGGAAATAACCAGCAGCAAGGCTACAACTACTACAACAATCAACGAGGAGGAGGTGGTCGAGGGTAAGCATCAGTTTTTTTCTTTCTTTTCTGGAGGTGCAAACATGTCTCCTTTGTAGGAAAGACCAGTGCTTTCTAAATGTGTTCTTTTGATCAGTGTTGCCCAAATAGCCTCATGCATTGTTAACATGTCTATTGACAGTTATAAGGCAATCACTTCTGAATAAGAAAATGAAGCATTTGAACTCGAGGCCCTGCCGCGGTGGTCTAGTCGCTAAGGTACTAGGCTACTGACCCGCAGGACGCGGGGTGGAATCCTGTCTGCGGCGGCTGAAGTTTGTTTGGAGGCGAAAATGCTGTAGGCTTGTTTGCTCAGATTTGTGTGCACGTTAAAGAACCCCAGCTGGTCGAAATTTCCGGAGCCCCTTACTGCGACGTCTCTCATAATTATATGGTGGTTTTGGGACATTAAACCCCACATATCTATCTTTGAACTCGAGGCTGAAATAAACCCATGTACTAATGTAATGTGTTTGTTGCACCGTGTTTAAAATGCTTCTCTAGCATTTGGTTCTTCTGCAGAATGCAGCGATCGAATGGTTTAATGCAACCAGGTACTGCACTTTTGATGAAAATACGAATGGCAGTAGAGGCATGTGGCACAGACTTTCGACATTTGGTGTTTGGAAGTTCGCATGCTCAATCCAGATTTTTAATAAACTGCGCTATATATGAAGCAGTGACCAGGGAAGACGAGCCAAGATATTTTGTACTGTTTTCACATCATATACCAGTGGTACAGTTACTCCAGTATGCAATGAAACTTGGTTGATATTCGGCAACTTTGCAGCGTTCCAACCATCATTATTTAATTTGCTACATCATAGTCAGCAAATATAGTTGTGATTATAGACAAAGTTTAGTCCTATGCCTTACTCGCACTATTTCATGAATGGCAATCTTCCGTTCACATAGAAGGCTTTCAAGTTAAACCCAAAGGCTATAGTTGTGTGAAGTTTGTGGCATAGAAAGCACTTTTATAGGTAGTTTCTAAATTTCAAAACTGCTACCGGGTAAGTCTGCTGATAGGCAAGACATCAAAATCATTGGTGAAAGGTTTAGTAAACAAAGTATTCTAAGTAAATTGTATCATTCTGGCTCGGGCTTCGGTTTTTTAGGATAACACTATGTTATGGCATTGTTGGAGACAAAACATGTCCTGATGACTAGTTTTCTGGTGGCTTGGGCAGAATTGTGGCATTTTGTTGTGGTTTCTGGTAGGGTGGATGTTAGACATGCTAGAGCTCGCTGTTTGACGCCCTAAAGCCAACAGATTAGGCCGTTTATCATTCAAGAATGATAATAGAAGGTAATTTACCACGTGTATTGTAGTTAACCTGCTAATGCAGTACTTTGGCTTAGTTATTATCTTGTAGTAAATTTATATTTCAATTTTTGCTGTTTTCGTAGCATACCTTCAATACATAGCATACCTTCATAGCATACATTCAACTTTCTCCGGAGAGGGACCTTATGCGTAGAAATTTTTTACTTTGTATTAGGCTTTTGGATGCGGATCCGATGTCCTGGTAAGTATTTACTGTTGAGATTTGATTTTCAATGAGTAATCGCCACCTAGTGATACCACCGCTCTTACTCTTCTTCTATTTATTTATTTTTTTATAACTTGCTATGAGATAAAATAGACTTGTCATTTACTATGAGGTAAAGTGGGAACATCGTTTCTTGACATCTAAATGGTGTACATTAATCTTAAATGCACAAGGATTTATTCACTACGTAGTGTTGTTATTTGACGTAACCCTTTCAGTCCCAGTGATGCCAACTGGAATCTTAAATTATTGAGGTCGGTCAGCAAGCATCTGGTAAAGTGAAAGCTTTCTTCCTCAAGAGCCCATGTTTTAACATCTGCTCAACGTTGTGCTGTCTGCATGATACACACAGTAAAGCGAGGTCACGTCTGAACGAAGATATTACATGAGCGGTCGTGCTGTGTACGCATTTCGCCAAGACAGCGCCTTTTTTCACTATGCGAAAATAGGGTGTTTATTTTAGTTAAATTCGGCAAATATAAATTTTGGCTATTGGCATAGTGCTGCCCAGTCTAATTAACATTTTAAGTAGTAAACGAATTGTGGAATTTTAATTACATAATTATTCATTTAATTGGCACATTACTCTTCTTTGAAAGTAGTGAGCCTAGAGTTTTTAGACGTTTTGGACTACCACAAGCATGCGCATCTAGAGAAGTAAATACTAGTTGTTTACATTGAAGATAGTTACTTTTATCTTCAAGTTATTGAATTAATAATGGTGGTGGTTGGCAGTAGACTTGTAGTTGCAGCCTAACTACTATGCCTTAATGTTTTGTAAATACGCAGCTGGCATTTTTTGTTCCCCCCTCAAGCCAAGCAGTACTGCCCCTCATCAAGCTACACTGGTGCTCCCTCGCCCAACCCAGGCACGGTTAGGCGAGGGTTTGAACCTCCTAAGACAAAATCTTGCCATTGCCCGTTCTAGCCCGTATTGATGAATCTGTGCCAACTCGTCCAGGATGCAGTCTTGGTTTTTTACAGCACGTGCCTTTCCGGAAGCGTTTACTTGTGCAAATGCACCACTGTCCGAGGCAAAATAACAAACGCAACAGACGCATTAATGATGTGGCAGCCCAATGTAGAAATTTGCTCTCGCCTTCTATGTTAATGTAGTTTGGTGCAAGTGTATCAACCAACTTTCTTGTCAAGAGACTTTTTACTTTGTTTTGGTCTTTCTCATTTAGTTTTTGTTAATCATGAGTCATCTCTTGCTTACACATCCTTAAGGAAGATGCATTCTTAGCGAGAATTGTCGATTTTCGCTGAATTTCTCTCTTGCTTTGTCACAGCCAAGAAGAGGAGAAACCCAATCATGTTCTCTTGATGACCATCCTGAACCCTGCCTACCCCATCACAGTGGTAAGGGCAGGCCTCTTTTTTTATTATGAAACTAAAGTTTGTTAGTATTTCAAAAAGTAGCGACTGATAAAAAATGGCTGTTTGCTTCGATGATGTCTGCAAACATCAGTTCGGAGGACGAAGCTATAACAAAACATGCGTTATAACAAAACACGCGATTTGCCCTTACAGATTTGCTCGTAGGCTTTTGTCGAGAATAGGTCAATTTCCACTTTCGTGAACTTCGTGCAAGTGCCTATTATTTTTATTCGGTAGCAATTTTGTTCCACGCCAGGCACCTTTCCGTGAATCCTCTAGCTCTTTGGCAAATTAATGCCATGAGAACATGATTTCTGTAGAGTTATGATGTTTGAGATAAGATACTATGTATAAATGCTTCACAAGATGCAACCACAGACTTGTACGCATATTCCACATTCCCAGCCCTTTACTTCCCCGTATTTTTTTATGTTTATTTGAATAGACGTTGTTTTCATGCAAATGTTGTTCGTGAATTTATTGACGAATTCTTTACCTCTTGTAAAACTTTCGGCTTTCAGAACTGGGAATCATAACTAGCGTGTGGCAGCATTGACTTAGAGTACATATTGCACAAAAAAAAAGTGTGAATAGCGGTTCATTTGTGCAGTCTTTTGTGCAAGCGCCTTTGTCAAGCTTCTTCGAACTCTCTCCATTGATTCGCACCTCGTTTGCACGCGGGCAGCCATCTATTTCTGGAACAAGCTTATTCAGGAAGGTCGTGCCTACGGCAGAAGTTATTTATGCCACTTGTGATGACGTGTAGCTCGGGTTCATTAGAGCACGTGTCATCGACGGACGGTCTGAAAAATGGAAGTGACACGTGGACTTGTTTTACGACTGTTGTGGAACAAGAGGCGCTCTTGCGCGACGGCCTGGAAACTGTAGATTGCTGTAGTAAGTTTTGCATAGTGAAGTGCACGTATGAAAGCTTTTGAGTGAAATAATTTCCAAAGAGAATTGTGTGAGGGGAGTATGCGAGAAAGGCGCTTGCCTGTCGTGTTGTGCGATTTGTGCAGGGTGCTTTTATTTTGTTGTTGCAGTTGCACAGAACCACAGTACTAGTGGTAACTTTGGAATTCCCTGGGTTTCGTAGTATTACTTTTTTTTCTGCTTGTTTTACCTTGTGTGAACTTCTAATTAAATTTGTGCAGCATCCGTAGCTAAAAAAAAAAAAACAAATGTGTTAACTTGATTTCAGTAGAGCACTTTTAGTGGGCATTCCTACGGCGCGAAGCTTTGTTTAAAAGATACTTTGCCATAGATTGGTAATAGAACCCTTAGTTTTATAAGAACCGCCACACTGGTGAAAGGCTACATTTACCATTGTTCATATAGAAAGTGTCTGTAGCTCATATTTTAATTTTTTGAAACTCGTCTGGGAACAAAAGAAAAGAGTGGCGCGATTCTCTTCGTGTCATAGTAAACTTGACCATTTTGTTGATCTCGCCAAGAAATAAAAGATGGTTTATCATCTGAACATTTCTTTTGTATTTAAACTTGTTTGTGCTCATCTGTCGTTGGTTTCAGTGTTGTTTTCACCTCTAGCTTATTTGGGTTCTGTGTAGCTTATGTGACTGTGTGTACCTGTCAAATGAGTTGTTTTTAGCATCCCCATGGACATCCTCCCTTCCACACCTTCAAAAAAAAAAAAACTTCTGGCATATCATTAACAGCTATTTCATTGTTTCACTTGAATTTCTACTATAATTTTTTTCCCCTAGGATGTCATCCACACCATCTGCACTCCGAGCGGCAAGGTCATGAGAATAGTGATCTTCAAAAAGAATGGTGTCCAAGCAATGGTCGAGTATCCTTTTTTTCGGTCGCAATTTTTTTTCCCCGCTTGAAATGTTTCCACCATCGCTGGCGTTGCTATCAAGGCTGGCTCAAAACTACTTGGTAAGTGGTATAAGGTTTTGCTTTTATGCATGACGTTTTATTTGCAGGTTGTCCCAAGTGTTTTGCAGCAGCGTTCAGTCGCTAACATCAGATTGCAAGACCTGCTGCCCTAGTAACAGGCCAACTGCGGCTACTCTCGACTGTTTATTGTAAGCTCGTGACGAGCATGGTTTTTTTAACTATCAACCATGTTTTTTTTAGCCACTACACCCATCGCCGGAGCAAAACGACGTTGGAAGTGATTCGTCGAAAATGATCTCTTGATGTGATTCGGAGATTGCGCTGTAGGTGATGAACGCCCTTTGTCATCCGTTTCATCGGGCGAGTTCCAGTGAGTGGCGTCTTCTGCCAGAAACTGCGTTTTTTTTTTTCCCCAGGCGCGCGCGTCCGTAGGAAAAACAACGTATGCGCGTAAACTATTCTCGCTTTCCGAAACTCGGGCATCTATGTGCAGGCTGAGACTTCCGTTTCTCCGTATGAGTCCACCGCATCAACCAACGGATGGGTAGGTACCAAGGAAGTCACCGAAGGTGAGGTCGGCGGCGTACGGCGCATCGTGATGAGGAATTTGCCGCGCAGGGCTCTCGTTGTGTACTGGGAGAGCCGTGGACTTTGAACGACGCCTGTCAAGAATACGATGCGTGTTCGGGAAAGAAGCGGTGGTGGCTCCGGCAAGCGCGCCTCTCTTGCTTTGATCTTGTTGTTTCTCTTAGATTCGTTGGCGCGCCGCTACGCTGTCGGTGGCCTCGCAAAAAAAAAAAAAAAATGTTTTTGGGGTGGCGGCGGGCGGCATCAGCTTCTTGGTTGGCGTGTTCGCGGCCGCGCGAGTTTATTTCTGCTCCTCGCGGACGCGGCTTTTCCCGTTCTCTCTATATATCTTTGCCGTTGCCGACAGTGACAGGCCTATTTTTTTTTTCTTCTACCCGGACTCGAAGATGTAGCCCACTTGCTCTTTTTTTTTTTTTTTAAATCGCACGCCGGGCAAGAATACAGGCATGGCGCTTTGGCATGGCCGGTGGTTCGAAACGAGCCTGGCGCGGCTTGGTGGCGGCTTGTCATCGTGCGTTAGCGCCGCAGAAGGCAAGACGTAAATAAAAGAGAAAATGGGGTTGCTGCGTTGTGGGGGGGGGGGGGGGGGGGGTGTTCGACGTCTGCAGGGAGCGGGAACAGATAAAAAGAAAGCGGTCCTTCACGGGCGGTCCTTGCGCTGGCATTGTTCTTGTTTGACGTGCGCCGTCGGTCCTGGTCGGGTTGAACATAGAACGATGCACGACTCGTGTGGTGAAGTTTTTTTATTTTTTTTTTGACGTGCACATACGTTGTGTGTGACACATTTTCGAAGTAAAAGTTTTTTCACGGATTTTTAAGGTGACTACCTCATTGTAATTGTAATTCGAGACCTCGTAGAAGCTGGGAACTGCTCCTCCGGGTGTCACGTCGATCCCAGGTGCTAACATGAAATCCGTTGCTCTTTCAATGAACTCGCCCTCGACTTGGCGCCGAAAAGCAGACGCTGCATCTTGATTCCGGAAGGGTTAATTTATTTTTATTTATTTATTTGCAATACCCTCAGGGCCAAACGGCATTACAGAGGGGAGTGGTTGAGAAAGAAAAGACAAAAATTTTTACAAAATGCAGCGGCGAATCTTACGTCGAGCAGAAGATCTTAATTATACAGGTTAGCTAACAGGCTTTATGGCAAACAATTTATTATCGTGACTACCAAGTAACAGTGTACACTGAACGGCGAGGTAGTTTTGCGGTTTAAAGTATCGCAAGAAGGCCCATGGACCTCGGAAACCCTGGTAACTCCAACTGTGCACCGCCCTTGAAGCTCGCGTATGAAGGAAGCGAAGAGTTCGGGATTTAGTGACCGTGCATTGCTGGTCTATATATTATGCACGACACGGCAGTAAACACCGAGGAAAAAGCTGTCGGCACTGAGCATCGCCCTTTCAAGCACCGCGTTACGTGTTAACGGCTTCTTCTTCGAGCAATCTCGCGATTCCGGAAAGACGCGCTCGATAGAATTTCAAAAGCAGAGTTCGCGAATCCAAATATTAACGGCTTTGATCGGCGCCCGACTCTGATCTTACGACGTGAAAGAACGCTACACCGGTCTCGTTCGACTTTTCAAGAGGTCGTGATTGGGTGAGGGAGGAAGAAGTTACGGCAAAGCATGGTTGTTAAATCTCGCGTCGTAATAAAACTTCACTCGATTCCGCGTCGTTAAACGCGGTCGTGCCCGTGTTGGCGTGACCCGTGAGAGGTTGTGAAGTCGACTCTTTGCGCGCATTCGTTGGCCGAGTAAAACGAGGGAAATAACAAAGCGGAAAACGCGTACCAGACGACAAACGATCGGGAGAGGGTGTATTTTCTAGCAGACGATACGCTGTTTTGCGGCGGGGGATTGGGATTTTTCGGCGCGTTAAGTGCGTAGTTTGAGCTGGGGCTGTGAATATTTGATGACGTCGTTTAAAAGGGGCTGTCGTTCATTCTGACTGGCTCTCTGTTAGCTTTTTCTGTTTTTTTTTCGGTGCTAGCTTTTTTTTTTTTTGTGCCGACTCCGTGGCTATTACGTCCCCAGCAGGATTTCTCGTTAGTCAAATGTAGCAGCTTTGTCGGACTAGTTGTGCAAAGAGAGTCGCGGTTAGGTTTTCCTTACCTGTCTCTTCTCCCCTCCGCCCTCTTTCTATTTTTTGCGCAACATTTTGAAGTCCAGGAAAGTATGGGAGGTGTTGTATCTTTCAGTGCAGCTATATTAATTACGAAATAGTTAATTAATTCAACTGGACGGGTACAAAAACTTACTGCCGCGGAGAAGAGGGGCACACAACTCTCTTGGTTCTGTTTCCGGCGCGCGTGCCACGGTGTAGTATGAATGCTTAAACACTCTGGCAACAACTTCCAGCCCTGTTGCAGCTCTGGCGTGTAAGCTAAGCTACTGTTTTTACGCTACGAATTTTTCACAATCAAGACTAGTGGGACTTTGTGTAGTGTACAAGCACGGGCGGATCCAGCCACTCGAGGAGGTTGGGGGAGGGGGTCGCCTGAAGTAACACCTTTTTTTTATGCTAGCAAAAAAAAAGAACCCTTCATAACATAAATATTGGCTATGTGTCTTCACTGTCTTTGTATTAGCGTTACGAGGAGGACTACAAGCATAGAGTGAGGGGGGGGGGGGTAGTCCTTACCGCCTCCCTCCCTCTGCATCCGCCGCTGTGTTCAAGTAGGGCGGATGTGCTTCATCGGCGCGTTCTCCGTACATAATACATTAGAAGTTGGTCCATAACGTGGTAAAATGTCTGGCAGTTTTATCGATTTATTTCTATAGCCACCCTTACTGCGCGTTTCTAGCGTGCAGTAACCTCTTTGGCGATAGCTTCTCTATTTATTTTTTTTTTTTGGCACGACCGTCGTAGAGGCCAGCTAGCTCGCTGACCGTGCGCCCGTTCAGTCCGTTAATTATTAACGCCGCCTCGCCCGTGTTGACAGCGTGCGTCCTAACGGTGGTCATCTGTTGCGACGCGAGAGAGACTCTCCGCCGTTTTCTCGCGTGCAGTCCGTGCATGCATTATTGGCCATATCGTTAAGGTTGCAGAAGCACACGCGTGCATTTAATGCGTCTGCTTTGTGGGCAGAGGGCTTTTAAATTTTCCCGTTATTTTTCTTCCGCGACACCGCGGTCCATGCAGCCGCAGGTTCCCGGAGTTGGTGGAATAATGTCAAATGTACAAATGGAAAAAAAAAAGCGAACAAGAAGCGAAATTAGCAGCAGGGGGTTGCTCCTAGCCGCAAAAGTCTTGAAAATGACGATACTGTACGATTCTGAAAGATAAATTGGTCGCCGCCACGCTTTATTTAGGTGACGTTCGGTTATTTCCATATGCATTGATAAATCAACTTGGATAATGAACGCGGACAGGTTCGGTCGTAAACCGCAGACACGACCCCCCGATTTCTGTCGCGCAAAGTGGCTTACGCGGATATTTTCGGTTCGCCGGACAGGGCATCACTCGATGAACAGCTTCGCTTTTAAAAGCGGGTTGGGGCTTTGCGCGTGTGCGCGACTCGGTTGATTGATTGATTAAAACTTTATTATTTTTCGATGGAGGCGGAAATGTTGTAGGCCCGTGTGCTCAGATTTGGGCGCACGTTAAAGAACCCCAGGTGGTCAAAATTACCGGAGCCCTCCACTACGGCGTCTCTCATAATCATATGGTGGTTTTGGGACGTTAAACCCCACAAATCAATCAATCAAACTTTATTTTTGTCCTGAGAAGACTCTGCCGGAATGATTGGGGGTGGGTGGTGAAGGAACACGCCTCGTTTGCTTAAACTTGGGCTTCGCTGTTCGGGGGAGCTTTACCTTGCCGCCCTTCTTGTCACAGTCGCGATTGCTCACCTTCGCGGGAGTTCGTTCGCTGATTAGTTGGTTAATCAATTGATTAATTGCGTCCTCGTTTCGTTAAAAGGGGTAATCCAATAGTTCCGAGATTCTTGAGCATAACTGCACGTCAAGGTACCTTATGTGTTCGACATTATTTCCGCACTTTTCCCACTACACCGTGCCCTGGTAATCAATCAATAGTTTCGGTGCGTAAAATTTGAGAGATGTTTTTTTTCGTCGGCGTGTGCCGCCAAGCGAACGCGGCTGCCGATTTACCACCGTCGACATGCGTATGAAGTTTCACGAAGGCAATGAATTAGTTTTCCAAGGGCGATGATGGATGCGTGGAAAAAAACTCAGCTGGTCAATCAAGGAAGACAGAAATTCATTAAAAACGGCGACCGTTCGGGACCGGGCGAATCGGATTGATTTGCATCACGCAAGTCTTCATCCGTCCACACATCATTAGAGCGACGCTACCCATTTTCTTCCGCTCGGAAGCCATCGATCTCGTTAATTACGTGGCCGCGCATGTAATAGCTACATCGCGTCCTCGATGGAGGCTAAAATTTGATAATCGCCCTCCGGCTGGCTGCCCCCTCCCCGCTTTTTTTTTTTTTTTTTGAAGGTTCCGCGAGATATCCTCAGCGGCACATTCTGGGCGTTTTTCTTTTGGTGTACGTATTTTTCTCGCCAACATCGAGACCCTAGCCTTCCGCCTCGCTTCACCCCGCTAGCAGTGGGGTTGGCGAAGGGATGTGGC